TTTGGTAATGATAGTCGGAGAGTCGTTGGAGCAGCTGTTAGAGATTCCTTACCGTGAGATTCAGCATTCAGCTTTGCGAGGTGAGTTTCCTCCTAGGAACGAGTCTAAGGCACTAATGTCGGCCTATTTATGTATGTTAGCATGTGCCAGACTTCGGTTTGATGTCGGGCAGTGCCCGATGTAGGATTATATGTTTATATGTTTCCGGACATCTGTCCGATGCCGGGGAAAGCCCGAGGAATGTTTGTATGCTTGATGTCTTTGTGATTCTTGCATGTGCTTGTTTGTATGTTCCAGACTTCGGTCCGATGTCGGGGAAATCCCGAGGAATGTTTATATGTTTCCGGATTTCGGTCCGATGCCGGGAAAAGCTCGAGGAATGTTTATATGTTTCCGGATTTCGGTTCGATGTCGTGTGGGGCCTGAGGAATGTTTATATGTTTATGTTATGTGATTATTTATGTGTATTGTTGATATGTTTATATGTATACCGAGCTTTGCTCGATGCCGGGCGGGGCCCGATGCCGGACTTTGGTCTGATGTCGGGCAGGGCCCGATGCCGGACTTCGATCCGATGTCGGGCGGGGCCCGATGTAGCGAGCAAGGCCCATGTTATGTTATTACGTGATTATGTGATTATGTGTATGGTATGTGGTAGTTTGGGGAGACTCACTAAGCTTCGTGCTTACAGTTTCCAGTTTTGGTTTCAGACACTTCCGGTAGCAAGGGGAAGAGCTCGGGATGACTGAAGTGCACACACCATTATGTTTATAGCCTGGGATGTTTTACTCTGATATATTGACATGTGTTTTGATATGATACTCTGATTGATACAATGACTTATATTTTTGGATGAAATGATTTTGGTAACTATGGTTTATTTAATAATTAAAAATGAAATTTTTGGTCATGATTTTTGGGATGTTACAATAACAAGGACTAAAAATGTAAAGTTCTACAAAAACGTGGTTTGTGCGAGCCCGAAATTTCAAAGCTACATTCGTGACTACAGGTCGTACCCACACACCAGTTCGGTAAGTTTCGTCTATAAAATTTAAGATTTACATCCCCTGTGCACGTGTAGATGTTGGAGTAAAACCATACGTAAAAGCTTGTAAACTAACTACACATATATGCTTATAAACCCACTAAGGGTTTGCTTCTTCTTCCTATATATGTGAGACCCATTCCCACAACCACTTTATTTGTTAACTTTATTTCCAAATACTCATCTTTGAGCATCAATATCTCATTCACGCATACTCCGTTTTGGATACATTATATACTGTCTTGAAGCTCTCACATAGGAGAACACAAACCCATTAATATATATATATATATATATATATATATATATATATATATATATATATATATAATTAAATGTGTCCAAAGATAGGAAAAACATAACAATCCCCCGTGTGAATGGAGATTGATCTCTGCATACGAAGTTTCCATACGAATTTTCCAATAGTTAAATCATGTATAAGATAGGTAGGTGTTAACCCTTGAACCCTCCCTAACGAACTATACTTAGCCTTCTAGTTATTAGTTGACACGGTGTCCTTAAACTGAGCTGCCATTTATATAAACAGCAATATAATTCACACAAGACTCTTCTGGAAAGGTCATATCCTCATAGTCGTGTTCATTATGGTCATGAAACACTAACATGGTTATGTGAGAGATTTTAGGAATTGCGCCCCCACAATTCCCTTCGAAGCGACCCAACCGCTCTCTCACATAGGTTATTCAAATAATCATTAAAAGTTGTATGCTTAGCCTCACTTGCCACTGATTATAAGAATGGACTAGGAAGTTTATTAACTCCTCCCACAATGACCTCCTTCACTTTATGGGTTTCGAGTTTCATTAGATCAAATATAAGGCAGCAGAAATAACAAGCAATTTGATCTAATCTCGAAATATATAGATCTAAACTCAACTAATCCATGCAACTTATTAGTACTCAATAGATTGAAAAACATACCTTTGATTTCTTAGTAGGTTTCTTCTTTTAACAAGCCATTAGATTGGACTAGAGACCCCAAAAGAGAGTTCCTCTTTTGTGATCACACCCAAGAAGCAAAAATCTAACAGAACTGACCAAACCTTGAACTCCAATAGTAAACAAATTCAAGAGATGCGAATCCGTGTCTCGCCACGTCGTGGCAGATGAATGCCCACACCGTGGAAATTGGTTTCCTGCGATTCAAGGGTTTTGAGAGGGTTCCGAATTTTGGTAGCTGAAAGGTATTTTCACAAGTCTCAAAACTAGATTTGGAGCCCTCTATTTATAGGGAGGTGATTTGAAACCCCGGAGATAATTACCAAATATAATAATAATTATCTATGGTATTCAAATTATTCTAGAATATTCCACGTTCTTTTTATTTACTATTAACTAATTAACAAAACAAGTCCCTCAAATAAATATCTTTTTAGTTATGCTTTATTTTGTTCTTGCGTGTAACCCAAAAGGACACTGCTATTTATAATAATATTATCAGGCTTATTATGGCTATGAGCATTAATCTCCATCAGCTCCTACTTGCAGTTAGGCATCAACAATTGACCAATCTAATACTTATCAGGAACAACAGTAAGTGGTTGTCCAATGTAACTACTGTACTTATAGCAACTTTGCTATAAAAACCCTAAGACTAATAACTTCAAATTCCTTTGATCTTCATGATATCTCAATATGAATTAGAGACATGGATAAAAGGTCAATCTCATGACCCAAATTCAGAAAGGCCAGTGGCCTACACAAAGCCCAAAACCCTAATAGTCAAAATATGGCCCAAACCACAAAAGTCAACGAAAGTCAACAGCTGCTGAGTACGCCCAACATACTCAGACTTACGCCCGGCGTACACATGTTTAGCCCAGTACGCGCAATGTACTATGGAGTACGCCCAACGTACTGGTCAACCCCCATTTATCTATCCAAATGACTTAACCCATTAAGCCCACAACGCCCAAACCTCATTTCTACTGCTAAATGAAGTCTTAATACATAAAGTTGGCAGCTTTACTCCTTTACATGTCTTAATGGGACCCAATACTCGTTTTTATCCATCTAATACATTTTAACTCTTGCATGGAAGGGATAGGAGGTCTAAGATCACATTTTTATGGTTCCTACTAACTCCATAATGGATAAAGTTTCCAACTTTATCCATTAGAATGGTCCAAACAACCACGATCTAGTCTTTAAGTCTCCAAGGGACCAAAAGTGCATCTTTTTCAACTTAATCCATTAAGTCCAAGTCTCCAACCTTCAGACTGAATCAATATGATGTTTAGATGGATAAAGTTTTCAACTTTATCCATAACAAGCTCACAAACTTTCAAGATTCTAAACTTTTTGCACCAAGGTGACCAAAAGCTCATAACACCTAAAACTAGCTAGATCTAAAAAATGCATCATCAATATTCTTCATACCTCTAGAAGAAAGGTCAATGTGAACAAAGTCTGAATCTACAAGCTCTAATGCAACCAACGCTTCTCTAATGAGCTCCTTCTTCTCCAAGATGCACCAAGAACACTCCAAAGCACTTAAAAACACCTTCTTTTTGCTCACAAGGCTCAAACTACGGTTAGGATTTCAAGGGAGGGTGTTGGAGAGGTGGAGGCTGAGAATGGAATGGGTTTTGGGAAGTTAAGGAGCTTAAATATGGCTCAAACCACGAAAATAGGGTTTAGGCACTGATTGCATACGCCCAATGTACTCCAGGTATGCCTAGTACGCCAAGCGTACTCCAGGCATGCCTAGTACGCCCAATGTACATCATGTATGCCTAACGTACTATACTAATCCCCAAAACCTTCCTAACTTCAAACGGTCATAACTTCTTCGTTCAAACTCCGTTTTCGACGATCTTTATATCCATGTGAAGGTATTGAGGAGCTCTACAACCATATCTAATTACTTTTAACTTAAAACGTATCGAACTAAAATCCTTAATTCATAAAAGAAGTTTGAAACACCACTTTTGCCATTTTACCCTTTGACTCCAAAACACAATCAAAGGCTTGGATCGCACAGCCAATATTATCACCATCCAATAGTGTCTAAACCTTATTCCATTGAATACCAAAGCTTTTACTTGATCCATTTATCGCCCGCAATCCCGAAATAAGAAACTTTTCGAAACAAGTTGTTACATTTTATCATTTTGTGAAAGTTTATGAACATATCAACAATATCCGATTTGTTTTTTAGAAGAAAAACCCAACATACACGAGTATATTCATCTATGAAGGTTATGGACCAACTCTTTCCACTTAGGTCTTTTACACGAGAAGGGCTCTAAATATCACTATGTATAATATGGAACGGTTTTGAGGGTTGGTATTCATGAATGGGGTAGTTTTTTCGTGTTTGTTTTGCGAGAATACATGATTCACAATAAAATGAAGAAACTATGATGTCCTAACCGTTTATGCCAAAGGATTACATCAGAATTTAAGATACTTGATGCTGATAGTGCTAGACATGAGGTTGGATATTGAGAATGACCAGTAAGATAGTAGAGACCACGTTGTACTTCAACATTGCCAATCATTTTCCCGGAACGCATATCCTGAAATACTCAAAAATCACAAAAAAAAAATTACTTTACAGTTTTGATATTTCGTTAATTTTCTCACAGAAAGAAGATTATATTTTAAATATGGCACATGAAGAATTGATTTTAAGTGAAGTCCTTGAAACTTTGTATCACCAATTCCTATAACCGGTAGCACATTGCCATCTATCATACATACTCTAGGTTCGTCACCACACGATCTATAGTTGTTTAAGTTTTTATGATCTCCAGTCAATCATATGATCAGAGGCACCGGTATCAACAATCCAATCATCTAAATTTGTTTTCTTTGTTAACAGAGATATTTTGATGTTACGGAGATGTGAAGTTGTTGTTTTAGGGACCGGTTCATGTGCTCCAGAACACTGTAATTCACGGAGAAGGGACTTTAAAGCCTCCATTTTTTATGGAGTGAGTTTGTTGATGTCAGAGCTTAGTGGATGAGTTTGCTCGACTACAGAAGCTGACGGATTTTCTCTGTGTTGACTTCGTGATTTCCAATCCTTTGGCTTTCCATGTATTTCCCAACAGGTTGTCTTCGTATGGAAAGGTTTCTTGCAATGCTCGCACCAATGACGAGCATCCTTATTTGCCTTATGATTTTGAGAATGAGAATAAATAAGAGCTGATCCTTGCGGTTGTTCTTCTGGAAAAATGCCCTCGTTTGATGCCAACATAACTTCATCAAGATCCTTCTTTACGAACTTCAGAAAAAAAAAAAAAAAAAAAAAAAAAAAAAAAAAAAAAAAAAAACTTCTCTTAGTGAAGGCAATGGTTTGACTCCAATAATATGTCCCCTAACGTCATCGAGATCCTTATTAAGTCCTTGAAGAAAATCAAAAACTCTGTCTTTTTCAAGCATTTGGTTATATGTGTTTCCATCATCACTGCACTCCCAAGGAAAAGAATAGAATAAGGTCCCGTTTGATAGTTTCTGTCTGGGAAAGTGCTGTCTGGTAAAGTGCTGTCTGGGAAAGTTTTCTGACTGGGAAAGAAACCATGTTGTTTGATTGTACATTTGATTGACTGTGCTGAATGATGAAAAAAAGTAATAATTCAATAAAAAATAAATTTAAAAAAAAGTTATTTAAAAAAATTAATAATCCAATAAAGAAAGAAAGAGACGGGGTTTGGTGTATAATTGTCTTTCCAGCCCATTCAGCCAGAAAGATATGATTTTGGGGCTTTCTGGGAAAGACATATCTTACCGGGAAAGACCCATTCTTTTGTGCAAATCAAACAGTCTTTCCGGTCCATTCAGCCAGAAAGATCTGTTTGGACCTGGAAAGATGCGTATCAAACGGGGCCTAAGTCTATATTATGCCTTAAAACGACTAACCAATTGTAGTATTCTGTCATTTTTACTTGGCGAGTGGATCTTATGAGTACATCTCTTGGACACTTTTCCAGATATCGTGGGCACTGCTGTAGAATAAAAATGTCCAATCAATTCATGTCTCCATGGAGTTGATAAGTAATGTCATGATAATAGAGTTTTCTGCTTCCCATTGTTGATAACTTGCATCATCCTGTTTTGGTTGACAAGCTTCACCGGTAATATAGCCTACTTCCCCTTTCCCTCGGATGACCAACAAAACAAATTGATACCATTCTCTGAAATTCAACCCGTTTAGTTTGTGTTGGGTGATTTGCAGAGTATGCTCGAGGTCACGAATCTGTTAGTGACATTGGATCGGTTTCCTCCGGCCATAGATCTGAGTTTAGGGTTAGAAAAAAATCTCAAGAAAGTAATAGAGAGATTTTTTTGATGAGATCTAGGATGAACCTCCTCTAATACCATGAAACAAAGGGTGAAAAGTTTTTTCGGTTGTATTTTTCTTATTCACATCACAACAATTTATATACAGGAAAGAAATAGCCTAAACAAGGAAAGAGATAATCTACTCTAATTACAGAATTAAGAGCTAAAAATACATCTAACATAATGACAATCACAGAGATAATTTTGGCCATTCTACAGCTCAAAAATATAGCAGTCAACATCTATATAAGGCTGTAATATGTCCAATAGTTGTTGCATCCGAAAACTTGCTTTGATATGTTGTTGTGCCTTTATTGATTGCTTGTTTTGCATGAATGTCCTACATTCTTCTCGTACATGCTCCGGACAATTTGGACATTTCTTTGCGTCTTTTTGACCACCAATTAAGTGTTGTTTGAGGCAGTATACTCCTCCTTTCAGAACTTGTCCACAAAAAGAGCACACAAAATTGATTTTATTACTTGGATCTTGTGCACCATATCTCCTACCTGGGTCATCTGAAGTTGAAACCATTATGTATAACAAAATAGAAATAAGAATTTAGAAAACATCAAAATATCAAAACATATTAAATTGTAATCTTGTATAACACTATAACATAAGTACATAACAGTGACAACTGACAAAACACTAAAACAGTCGAACAGTTAACAGCATTACATCATAATCATAAGTTCATAACAATTTACACTTTTGACTTTACAGGTAAACACTTAATTAACAGCAAATCAGCAAGACAGCAATACAACATAAGTATTAAAAAATGATTAGTTGATCACATAACAACTAAGAAACAGAGAAATATACAGAGAGTATACAGAGTAACAGACCTGATTCATTATTTCATTTATAACGTTAACAACATAAGTATTAAGTAGCAAATTAGCAATGTACTAGCATGCATTTTACATACAGATTTACAGATTACAATCATAATGTAGCATATACAGTCAATCAGTCAAACAGATTACAATTTACAGACACAATTTCTATACATTTTACATGCATGCAGAGAACGATTCATTACAATGTTACATACTTACATTACTATAATACTATGTCATGAAACTAGAGACTAGAGAGTTGAGAGGAGAGTAGAATTGGACTAGAATGAAAGTAGGAAACAATGAAACATACCTTGTTGTTTAGTGACTGGAAGAAGTACGGCTGAAGAAGAGTAGAAAGCGGAGAAGATGATTGAAAGGCCGATGTTTTTTTTTTTTTTTTCTTTGCCACTGAATCATGTCGTGCCTCGTGAGACGTGTGACTCTTGGTTTCTAAGAGTTTTTTTTATTAGTTAAACCTAATGGCCCACCCATCTAATTAAAAGCCCGTTTTTAATTAAACATAAATAAAGCGCACTTAATTACCGCCTACCAAGTAACAGAAATGCGCCAAAAGCGGCCTTAATTTATTGATATTGGGGGATTAAAAACCACTACCATATTACATTCTATACTGGGAAATAAGAAGTCAAAAATAAAAATTAGATAACAAACTACGTCTGTCTAGCCTTTTGCAAATTTGCAATGAACACAACCACCTTCACATAAACCCAATCCGTGAAGCCATCAAAAAAGTGAAAAAATGCGCGTCTCCCTCGACGGTTGACAAGTAAAGCCCCACATGCAATCCAAAATCCAGTAACAAAACCAATGCCCCCACCAATATAAAACCATCCCCAAAGTTCATCATCATCTGTGTCTTCCCCATCACCCTCACTTTTACCAATGATGGGTGGTTCTTCATCTCCAGGACATTTTTTGGTAAGGGGAGGTCCACATAGATGTGTGTTTCCATTGTATCTTGAAGGTGGAAAAGACTGGAGTTGAGTGCTTGTTGGGATTCTCCCTGACAAGTTATTATATGACAAGTCTAGGTAATTCAGTAAACTCATCTGAGACATGCTTGATGGTATCCGCCCAGAGATTTTGTTTCTAGATAAATCCAAAGTCAATAGCTTTTTCATCTCACCAATTTTCTGTGGAATCTCTCCAGATAGAGTGTTCTTTGACAGGTTCAGGGCAATCAAGTTAGAAAGATTGGTAATTTGATATGGGATTTGTCCTGTTAAATTGTTGCTTGACAGGTCAATGCTCCTCAACAATTTCAGATTGCTAACGAATTCACGTTCATCTCCTTGCCACTCAATCATTGCATGGTCAACATAAGTCTCTAATACAAATGAATTATCAGTTAAATTTCTATGATACTCTACATCTTGTGAGAATCCTCCTTGCTGACCCATGCTCGTAAGATTACTCAAACATGAGGGAATGGTTCCATGGAGATTGTTCATTGACAGGTCTAAAATCTGAAGATTAGCTAACTGACATAACTGTAAAGGGATGGTTCCAAAGAATTTGTTTGATCCTAGGATAAGAACACTCAACTGTGATAAGTTTTCCCCAATCCAGACAGACACATTACCAGAAAACATGTTGGCCCCCAAATTCAACGACTTTAAACGCGTGCAATTTTTTAAAGACAAAGGCAATTCTCCAGAGAAGTTGTTCTTGAATAGAGACAACACCTTGAGTTGTATCAAAGATCCCATAGAGGGAGGAAGCCTTCCAAAGAGATTGTTGTGTCCCAGATTAAGAACTCTTAGGTCTTTGAGATGCCACAAACAGTCAGGGAGTTGTCCGGTTAACGAGTTATGAGAGAGGTCAAGAAATTCCAAAAACTCATCAACAATTTGGCATATAAAGGAGATTGCTCCAGAGAACTTGTTTCTGGAAAGATTTAATGACAACACAGTGGAAGAAACATTCGGTATCGGACCAGAAAAGTTGTTGGAACTCAAATCTATCGTTGCACATTTGGCAAAATTTGATAACAAATCTGGTACTTTCCCACTAATGTTGTTGGAAGAGAGATTCAGATATATTAATTGAGAAGGCCATATGTCCCAAAACTCAAGAGGAATTGTGTCTGAAATTCCAGTATTGGAAAGATCAAAATGGGTAAGGTTTTTGAGTGACTGAATCCATTTGGGGAAGCGAGGCCCTACCTTGCAAGACCTCATATAAAGTTCCTTCACATAAGAAAGGCTTGGCATATGATCTGTTAAAGGAGCTGTAAGATTATTAGAAGAAAGGATAACAGTTTCAAGGCTGGGTAGTTCCCACAGTTTCTCACTTATACTTCCATTTAAGTGATTCTCAAATAGATACAAAGCTTCTAGGGATGAAAACTTTTGGATGTCATCAGACAATGACCCTGTAAATTGGCTTCCTATAGCATACAAGGACTGTAATGAAAGGGATGTGCATCCAGACAAGTTGTATAGAAAATCAGGAAATTTGACAGCAGCAGAGTTGTCAGCGAATTCCAAAAGTTGCAAACTACAGAGGTTACCAAGATATTTGGGTATCCCATCTAACATGTTGCCAGAGAGATGAAGGAATCTGAGTTTATTGGTGGTTAATGGGAACAACCAATAATACATGGATGAGGTGAGATTGTTGTCACCAAGATAAAGTTCAACAATAGATGAAGAAGAAGAAGAGTTGAGAAATGAAGAATATGGATTCATGACCTGTGACAGCTCACATCCCTCTAAACTTAAATATGAGAGTTTTGGGAGACTTGAAATTGCATCTACCCAGTGATTTGCTTTGGACAAGGAAATCCCATTCATATGAAGTTCCTCCAACTGAGAGAGATGAGACAACCACTCTACCTTTTCAACTCTACACCTTCCAGCAGAACTAAGATCAAGCTCTTGCAAGTGGGTGAGGTTTCCAAACTCTGGAGGAATGGTTCCATAAAAAGAGTTAAAAGAAAGGTCAAGGCGCCTTAATTTGATCAAGGAACCAATTGACCTGGGAATGGTTCCATAAAAAGAGTTACCAGAAAGGTCAAGGTAAATTAATCGATTCAAAGAACCAATGAAAGTGGGAATGTTTCCATGAAAAGAATTGGCGGAAAGATCAAGATGATTCAGGTAGGTTAAGTTAAGCAATGAATGGCTTATCTCACCTACAAGACCAAGGCCGCTGATATCAAGCTCTGTTACATGACCTGTTTGTTTGTCGCACGTGACTCCATTCCATTTACAGCAATCATGTTGATCAGCTGTCCAGGTAGAGAGAATACCATAAGGATCTTGAAGAAAGGGAGCTTTGAAAACAAGGAGAGCATCTCTCTCTTTATCCAAACACCTTTTCATATTTCTATCATCTCCTCCTTCTCCCACTGCTACCAATTGGCTGGCAGTTGTACTCACAAGGAGTAGCAAGAGAACTGAGAACATGATAAAAACACAAGGATTCATAATATAAATGTAAATTAAATACTTAATTGGTGATTTTTAGTTTGTATTCATGTCTAAGGGTTTATATAGTCTCCACTGTTATGTGTGAACATGAAGGATTTTAAGTGGGTGGCTCAAATTGATGGTCTGCTTGTGTGGGCCATACAATATGCAATTTCCATGAAAGATGAAGCATTGACCCAAATTACTATCTATATCTTTTCCATCTCGTGCTATTTTTTTGCGCCATGTGATATAAATCCCAAAAATCAATCGGACTTATGAAATCAAATACAAATCTACGGCTACATATGAAAATAGTACTGATATTACTTTTGGGTCTTTATATAAAAATTAAAAAGTGACGTTGAATATAAAATCTCAACAGAAACATGTATAAACCCACCATTAACAGATAATAGAGAATAGAAGAACAAATGCGCCGAGATAATTTACCTGATGGAGAACCAAGAACATGGCAACGGTGGCGACGTGGGAGATAGATAGAAGAGAAGAGACGAGTTCCAATATAAGGATTGATAAAGTTCAAAATCCCTGGATCCCTAATTTTTCGTGATATACCAATCATTAATCAAGCACATAAATCCACAATACTAAAGCTTATTTACGTGGACTGAATGAGACTCGACAGAAGCAGAACACAACTATATTAATTATATTAACTAGGTGTAAAACCCGTATATTATACGGGTTTATTAAAAAAAATTAATATGAAATTTTGAACATCAAAAAATTATTAAAGTAATACTTTTACATATAAGCAAAGACTTTATTAAGCAAGTATGTAATTAAACCCAAATTGCTAAAAATTAGTAATGAAATATTATAATTGTTAAAAATCAAAAATTTCCAAATACTTTTTTGAATACAACATTAGATGTCTTATTGCTAAATTTACTTTCATTGTCTAAAATTAATATTTTCAATTCGTCTATGCTTTTAACTATGGACAGTGCAACATACAACTGCTGATTCGTAAACACTGGTTGTCTAAAAAAACAAACCAATCGTTGATAGCGACTGTCATTGACTTTTGTTTATTGTTATCGCAAAACATACAACAAGTAGAAATTGTCTTTTCTGAAATGTGAAAGGAATCATTTTATCTGAAGGGGTCAATGACATTCTTGCAATAAACGTACGATTTCATATATTATTTCCAGAAATTATCTCTGCTTCTATAACATGCTTACCCAATGCTATAACTCGTAGCCTCGTCCCGTTTCACAATTAATGGGTTAAAATTTGACCTCTTTTCCCCTTTTTTGTCATGTCAACCCAATTAATGGGTTAAAAGCTTGGCTAATATTTTGTTCTTTTTTAATAGGAAAAATAATATAAAAAAAACCAATATACCCAAATTGCCCTTGCATTCTCCATTTTTGTTTATTTTAAGTTTTATAAAGACAAAGTTTCATCTTTTGGTTTTTTACCTTTACTCATAGAAACATACACACAACAAAGTAAGTTGCTTGATTTTGTTTATTTAAAATGGGAAAATTTTTACTTTATAATAACAATGACAATATTCCCTATTTATTTACAACACATACACACATTTCATACAATTGGCATGACAAATACAGAGAAATATAGAATTACATATACGGGCGATCGAAATTTGCCAATTTAAAAAAAAACAAAAATCAAACAACATACTTTGGTTTGTTTATGTTTCTATGAGTACAGGTAAAAAACAAAAAAAAATGAAAACAATTATTAAAGGCAATAACAGTTGGTTGCTAAATTTTTAATTAAAATACATGAATATAAAATACATATTGTATAATAAATCCTCATTAACCCTGTGTTAAATAAATGACACCATTTGGACCGGATCAGATCACTACTAAGAGCAATATTTTTTAAATATAATGTTTTACTTTTATACATTTATATAAAATTAAGTTATTCAGTATTCTACTTTTGATCACCCATAATCACAAAATAAGGTCACAAGCAGAAAGTTTGATTTTCTTAAAAAAGTCTCATTTTAACATTATACCTACTAAACCGTTAAGTTGAAGAATTCAGAGTCAAAATGACCTTATTTTGACCCAAAAGACCTTTTTGTCCAATTTGGTCATTTTTACTGTTTTTTTTTTCCTCAATTCGTCAACTTAAACATAAAAATAGCAATACACTAATATGAAACAATTAAAACAAAAAATATAATTTTTTTTTCATAATTGTCATTTTGACAAATTTCCCCCTTTTTTAGTGTCTGTAAAGTTTAAAAGTTTAGCTAATGTTCGTTGTTCTATAATAATAGGAAAAATAGGATAAAATAAAAACAATATATCAATATACCTAAATTTCCCGTGCATTCTCCATTTCTCTTTATTTTAAAACTTTAATATTGAAAGTACGTTGCTGTTTCTTAACAACATAACAACCATCTGTGATAAAATCAAACGGTATTTCAGATACCCACCTACTCAGATAAGGTTATGGCGCAGGGGTGGGGGTATTGTTAAAAAAATGATTTAAAAAAAAGACAACATAATTTATAATATTGCATATATGGGAAAAATGAAAGCACGATAGTATAGTTAAATAAAGTGTTGCTATTTATATCAATGTGCTTAAAAGGTCAACACTCTTTGCACTTTGTGTCTTATTAAAGCAAATTTGTCCAATTTTTTTAGCAGGGGCAAAACAATCATTCTAGTACACATCTTTCAAAGAATGGTGTATATGACAAAATACATATACATAACAAAGGGATTTGCCCTTGTGGAAAATACATTTAATAAAATAAACATTTAATAATAAGAGGGGAAGCACAAATATAATCATATTGTGTTGGCCTCCGTATACTGCACAAATACACAAATATTGTGTTGGCCTCTGTATACAGTATACATAGGCCAACACAATATGATTATATTTGTGCTTCCCCTTTTATTATTAAATGTTTATTTTATTAAATGTATTTTCCACAAGGGCAAATCCCTCTGTTATGTATATGTATTTTGTCATATACACCATTCTTTGAAAGATGTGTACTAGAATGATTGTTTTGCCCCTGCTAAAAAAATTGGACAAATTTGCTTTAATAAGACACAAAGTGCAAAGAGTGTTGACCTTTTAAGCACATTGATATAAATAGCAACGCTTTATTTAACTATACTATCGTGCTTTCATTTTTCCCATATATGCAATATTACAAATTATGTTGTATTTTTTTTAAATCATTTTTTTAACAATACCCCCACCCCTGCGCCATAACCTTATCTGAGTAGGTGGGTATCTGAAATACCGTTTGATTTTATCACAGATGGTTGTTATGTTGTTAAGAAACAGCAATGTACTTTCAATATTAAAGTTTTAAAATAAAGAGAAATGGAGAATGCACGGGAAATTTAGGTATATTGATATATTGTTTTTATTTTATCCTATTTTTCCTATTATTATAGAACAACGAACATTAGCCAAGCTTTTAAACTATACTGACACTAAAAAAGGAGGAAATTTGTCAAAATGACAATTATGAAAAAAAAAATTATATTTTTTCTTTTAATTTTTTCATATCTGTGTATTTCTATTTTTATGTTTAAGTTGACAAATTAAGGAAAAAAAAACAGTAAAAATGACCAAATTGGACAAAAAGGTCTTTTGGGTCAAAATAAGGTCATTTTGACTCTGAATTCTTCAACTTAACGGTTTAGTAGGTATAATGTTAAAATGGGACTTATTTAAGAAAATCAAACTTTCTGCTCGTGACCTTATTTTGTGATTATGGGTGATCGAAAGTAGAATACTGAATAACTTAATTTTATATAAATGTATAAAAGTAAAACATTATATTTAAAAAATGTTGCTCTTAGTAGTGATCTGATCCGGTCCAAATGGTGTCATTTATTTAACACGGGGTTAATGAGGATTTATTATACAATATGTATTTTATATTCATGTATTTTAATTAAATATTTAGCAACCAACTTTTATTGCCTTTAATAATTGTTTTCATTTTTTTTTTGTTTTTTACCTGTACTCATAGAAACATAAACAAACCAAAGCATGTTGTTTGATTTTTGTTTTTTTTTTTAAATTGGCAAATTTCGATCGCCCGTATATGTAATTCTATATTTCTCTGTATTTGTCATGCCAATTGTATGAAATGTGTGTATGTGTTGTAAATAAATAGGGAATATTGTCATTGTCATTATAAAGTAAAATTTTTCCCATTTTAAATAAACAAAATCAAGCAAATTACTTTGTTGTGTGTATGTTTCTATGAGTAAAGGTAAAAAACCAAAAGATGAAACTTTGTCTTTATAAAACTTAAAATAAACAGAAATGGAGAATGCAAGGGCAATTTGGGTATATTGGTTTTTTTATATTATTTTTCCTATTAAAAAAGAACAAAATATTAGCCAAGCTTTTAACCCATTAATTGGGTTGACATGACAAAAAAGGGAAAAAGAGGTCAAATTTTAACCCATTAATTGTGAAACAGGACGAGGCTACGAGTTATAGCATTGGGTAAGCATGTTATAGAAGCAGAGATAATTTCTGGAAATAATATATGAAATCGTACGTTTATTCCAAGAATGTCATTGACCCCTTCAGATAAAATGATTCCTTTCACATTTCAGAAAAGACAATTTCTACTTGTTGTATGTTTTGCGATGACAATAAACAAAAGACAATGACAGTCGCTATCAACGATTGGTTTGTTTTTTAGACAACCAGTGTTTAGGAATCAGCAGTTGTATGTTGCATTGTCCAGAGTTAAAAGCATAGACGAATTGAAAATATTAATTTTAGACAATGAAAGTAACCTTAGCAATAAGACATCTAATGTTGTATTCAAAAAAGTATTTGGAAATTTTTGATTTTTAACAATTATAATATTTCATTACTAATTTTTAGCAATTTGGGTTCAATTTCATACTTACTCAATAAAGTCTTTGCTTATATGTAAAAGGATTACTTTAATAATTTCTTGATGTTCAAAATTTCATATTAATTTT